GGGGTGCGGAGCCTGGGAGTGCTGAGCCTGGGGGTGCTGAGCCTAGGGGTGCTGAGACTAGGAGTGCTACGCCTGAGCGACCTGAGACTGGGGGGACTGAGCCTGGTGCTGCTGTTTCTACTAGTGGTCTTCTGGGAGCCTCGTCGTAGCGGTCTCCCTAGCGTGAGCCCCTCTCGCCGCAACAGCTGCGCGAGTGGCTCGTCCGACGCGCCTGCCTTCGGAGTCGCGCTGGAGCTGGAGACCCTTGAGCTGAGGGCACCGGAGCTGGAGCTGGAGGTGCTGAACCTGGAGGTGCTAGCACTGGAGGTACCGTAGCTGGAGGCGCTGGCACTGGAGGTGCTGACGCTGGGGACACTGGGGCTGAAGGCCCTGTGCAGCAGCGTGAGCCCCTCTCCCCACAGCAGCTGCGCGAGTGGCTTCGCCGTCGGAGTCACGCAGGAGCTGGGGGTGCGGGAGCAGGGGGTTCTGGCGCTGGTGGCACTGGAGCTGGAGCCGCTGGTGCTAGAGACACTTGTGCTGGAGGCACTGGATCTGGAGCCGCTGGAGCTGGAGGCGCTGGAGCTGGAGACGCTGGAGCTGGAGGTGCTGCCGCTGGAGGCGCTGGAGCTGGAGCCGTTGGACCTGGAGACGCTGGAGCTGGAGGTACCGGTACCGGGGGCACGGTGCAGCAGCGACCGTTTTCCTTGCCGCCGCCGTAGCTGTCCGAGCTTCCGCCCGAGCTTCCGCCCGTAGTCTTTCTTCATCCACTACCCTTCCTCCAGACTCCCCGCTGCCTTCTCCGTCTCGTTACACTGAGCAGCCGGTCAACCTTACAGAGCGTCGTGAGCCTGCGTCTCGTCCTGTCTCCCATGTCCGCACTGTTCGCACAACTCGTCGTGTCCCGCGTCCACGTCCTCCTCCTGTGCTAGGTACTCACACTATGGCACTTCGTCCTTCCTCTGCTCCACAGCGTGTCCCTCTGCCATCTCCTCCTGCGTCCTCTCTGCCTGACGTTGCGGACCCTGAGTCAGATCGTGTTCGTGCTGCCAGCCCTACTGTCATGCGTCTCCTGGCTACTGTTGTCACTGACCCGTCGTTTGAGTCTACTGCTGCGTCTGCCTTGGTTTTTGAGCTTGTCGACTTGCTGTTGCGTGTCGTCTAGACTACGCCGCCAGTCTTGTTGCTGAGTCTGGGTCTGTCTGTCCTCCGTCCGTCGGGAGTGAGTGTGCTCTTGGCACGGACGTCCTTGAGGACAGGCAAGAGGACTTTGAGTCTCTTGCGGCTGCTGTACCTCATCTCATGGCCTGGCTGCTTGCACCTTAGGGAGACCCGGATGCACTGGACATCCTGACCCCGCGCTCTTACGCAGAGGCGATCGCGGGTCCCTACTCCTCTTAGTGGCAGACAGCCATGGACGCAGAGATGGCATCTTGGAAGTCCACAGGCACCTACGTCGACGAGGTTCCCCCTCCTTGGGCGAACATAGTCGTTAACATGTAGATTTTCAGGGTGAAGCGGCCGCCGGGTTCTCCGCCTGTCTTCAAGGCTCGTTACGTTGCACGAGGCTTCAGTCAGCGACAGGGAGTTGACTTCTTTCAGACCTTCGCCCATACCCCGAAGATGACTACTCTTCGGGTGCTGCTGCATGTTGCCGCTCAGCGTGACTACGAGCTTCACTCTCTTGACTTCATCACAGCGTTCTTGCAGGGCAGTCTGCACGAGGAGATCTGGCTGCACCGCCCACCTGGCTTCACTGGGTCTTTCCCTCCTGGTACCTTGTGGAGCCTCCAGCGGCCAGTCTACGGTCTCCGCCAGGTGCCTCAAGAGTGGCACGACACACTGAGGACGACACTTGCGGCTCTTAGGTTTGCTCCTTCCACTGCTGACCCGTCGCTGTTCCTGCGCACCGGCGCTTCCCTCCCGCCGTTCTACATCCTCATGTACGTCGGCGACAGACTTCGTCACTGCTGACAATGAGGCACTTGCCCAAGTGAAGTCGGAGCTGCAGAAGAGACACACCTGCACTGATCTGGGTGAGCTGCGTAGCTACCTTGGCTTGCAGATCACCCGGGACAGAGCACGCCGCACCATTACCCTGACTCGGTCACACATGGTGCAGCAGGTCCTTCAGCGCTTCGGCTTCCAGTTCTCCTCGCCACAGTCCACTCCTCTGTCTACTGGTCACTCGCTCTCAGCTCCACCTTCGGACGAGTCCGTAGAGCCGAGTGGCCCGTACCCAGAGCTTGTGGGTTGCCTCATGTACCTGATGACCTGCACTCGACCTGACATTGCGTACCCTCTTAGCATCCTAGCTCGCTACGTTGCGCCTGGGAGACACCGACGAGAGCACTGGGAGGCTGCTAAGAGGGTGCTGCGCTACTTGTGTAGTACATCAGGCATGGGGCTGGTGCTTGGAGGACGGGGTGACGTTGTCCTCACTGGACACTCAGACGCCTCTTGGGTTGACGATTTGGCTACACAGCAGTCGACACAGGGTTACCCGCTCCTCTTCTGTTCTTTGTTGTGAGGCTGAGATCTACGCCACAGCCATGGCTGCACAGGAGTTATGCTGGCTCACCTACCTGCTGACTGACTTGGGAGAGCGGCCTCGTTCTTCTCCAGTTTTGTACGGCGACAACAAGGCAGCCCTCGCCTTGTGTCAGGAGCACAGACTGGAGCACAGAACGAAGCACATCGCTCTGCGTTACTTTCTTGCTCGAAATCTGTAGCAGCGTGGCCAGCTTCGTTTCGCTTACGTGGACACGTGGGCCAACACAGCTGATATATTCACCAAGGCACTTCCGCCTAGTGATCATCAGCGTCACTGCACTGCTCTAGGCCTCGTGCCTACGTTCTCTCACTTGCTCACCACTCGACCTTGCTTGACTGTGACCTATATATATCCTTGCATGCTTACATTTGCTAGGTTGTGATCACTGTACTGCTTGCTTTGTTTTATATAACTCTGCATGTGAACTGGCCTTGTGGCCGTTTGCTTGTGCTCGGAATGTGTGGTGACTTTGTGATCCACCCTGAGCTTGCATTACTCGCTTTGACTGGTCTTGTGACCACTTGTAAACTATAATACTGTTGTTGTTTGTAGGCTGTAGTGGGGTAGCTTACATGGGGTACAACATATTCTAGGGTTTCCTTTTTGTATCCAAAGTCTTGCTAGTTTCACCCATTCTTGCCTAAGTTTCTCAACAGCTGGTGCTGCTGTTCTCCCGATGGCTTGCGTTGGTGCTGGTGCTTCAGCTTGCTGCTGGCCCAGGAAAGAACATGTTCCATGCTTGCTTCTTTTTCCCTATTCTATTTGCTAGCATTTGCTGCTGCTGCTTGCCTACCTGCCCTTCTCCCTTCTTCACCCTTTTCAAACATCTCCTCTTTTCCCTTCTCCTGTGCCCCTGGTTCACAGACCCAGGTGTGTGCTGCAACTGCACCAGGTGCCTGCCCCACTGACTGGCGCTGCCAGGGGCTCAAGTGTGCAGCACCTACCATCGACAACTGCATTGGCTATCTCTGCGCTCCTTAGAAGGGTTGATGCATTTCGTGGCCTTCTGCCTTTGCCTTTGTTGGGTTGCGAAGCAACCTATTACAATCGTTATGTACAATTTTTTTTTCATCCTCTATACCTCAAGGTAAAAAATATGAAGAAAATCTAGTGAACCGTAGTTAACTGACTCACTGCTATGTATTTGCCACGGCAATTTGGCACGTACCGTGCCAAATTCCTTCTCATTTCCTAGTTTGCCTTGACTGGACCTATACTACTTCTCATTTTGACACATGAACATGGGTTGTCAAAATGATGTAATTGTGAACGCGTGACTGTTTATTCCGTAATGAAATATAATGATGGATATGATGAACCAAATATTGAATGCAAAATGGGTTTTTATAATGCATATGCTACTGTGGTAAATATAATATTAGTTATGTATAAGTCTAGTGTAGTGAAATGAATGCTTAGCATGATGGAAACTCGTAACTGTTAATTGACCCAGACCCTATGCTACCGCATCCCCTGCCTAGCATGGGGGGAGGAGCTCAATAGCATGGTTTTTTAATCATCCAACTGTTACATGAAACAACACAATCTGTGTAAACTAAAAAAATGATCAAGATCCATCAAATCCAGTTCAAGTGAACACACTCACTGAGTGGGCAAAGAACCTTCTCGGAAATGATAGTTGACCATTTTTTTAAAATCCAAGATGTGCATTGTTGATGCAATGATAGATGCATATGGATGAGTGTGCGCACACAAAGACACATACACACTGACGCACACACCGATATGCACACACACAAAGGCAAACTAGCGATGAAAGAACCACATACAAATGCACAAACAAAAGGGACAATTAGGAAGACATGAAAACAGAAGATGCAAAATATTATGAACAGCAATCTAAATCAAATCCCACAATCCAGCATTTCCCGATCGAGTGGCTCAATCAAAAGGTATGATGTCCGGCGTATGTGTAACCTGGTGAAAAAAAAAAAAAAAGAAACAAGCATCACAAAACGAAGAAAGGAACGAATCAAAGGGATGAAGAGCAAATAAGGTGAAAGAAACGAACCCGAAAGGAAGAAGCAAAGAAAATACGAAGAGTGGATTCGAACAAGGCTACAACAAGGTAGACGTCAATAAGACGCAAGAACCATTAATAACAATATAAACTGAATTTTGAAGCAAAAAAAAAAAGCAAACAAAGGCAGAAAACAAGTGGTTAGACAACTAAGAATGAGAACAATGTTGATAAAATCATGGAAGGCTAGATAAACTGAAAGACAGGAGGAAGGCTGGAAGAATAAACGAGTGATGAATGGAGGAGACGGACGGAAGGAAGGAAAGAAGGGTGGAGAGAAGAAATCAAACATGGAAGGTGTAGAGGAAATGAAAAAAGAAAAGAAGCTAACAAGGAGAAATCATTGTAAAAAGTCAGATTATAACGAATAAAAAATATCGAGAAGGCATTATATAAAGATTGAATTACTAAATTGAAAGTGGAATCTAGATGTTGAAGCGGAATCTAAACGTGCAATACATACCAATTCAAAGAGGTTGAGAAATGAAATGCGAGGATAAATTGAAGGAACGAAGTAGGTGAGGGTATGTCGCGGTTCTAGGAGATCAGAAAGTGAGGAGGAGAACTGCTATGAACGAATGAAAGGAGAAGGAAGAAAGAAGGAATGACATAAAGAAGGAAGGAAAGAGAAGGGTAGAAGTACAAACCAAGAACGGAAACAATGAAAGGTAAGAAAGAAGAAAGAGACGTCTTAGATAATAAGCATACATTTGTATTAGATGCAGCAAGTTGACACGTGAAACTAACTTAACGACCTGCGAACAAGGAAAAGTACAATTCGAAGGCGGAAAAAAGAAACAGAAAGTGCATTTGTCAGATTATGTTATTTGTCTAGCCTGCAGTGGGGTGCTCAATAGTGAGTACAACCCCTTAGGGTTTGCTATTTGTGTGTCCTGCTGCTTGCTAGTTCAACCATCATTCCCATTCTCTCTTCTCCAATTCTCCTTCGCATACCCAAAACCCTAGTCCTAGGGCACATCCTACTACCTCTTAGTGTGGGCCTAGGCTACTAAGCCTAGGCCCCACTCCTATTGTTTCTAACATGGTATCAGAGCGAGCACGTTCCTGCCGCTTACCTCAATGGGCCCACCACCTCACTGCTTCCGCTGCTACTGCTACTCTGTGTGTTGCACGCCCCGTGGCGTGCGACGGATTTTTCATCCCGCCGCGCGCTCGGAGCGTGCGGCGGTTTTCTGCCCGCCGTGCGCCCCGAGGCGCGCGGCGGCTTTCTGCCCCGTCGCCCCCGCGTCGCCCCGCGCCGTTTCCTCGCCACGCGGCCCATTCCCGTCGCCCGCGGCCCCCCATTCCTGTCGCCCGCGGCCCCCCCGTTCCCGTCGCCCGCGGCCCCCCGTTCCCGTCGCCCGCGGCCCCCCGTTCCCGTCGCCCGCGGCCCCCCCGTTCCCGTCGCCCGCGGCCCCCCCGTTCCCGTCGCCCGCGGCCCCCCGTTCCCGTCGCCCGCGGCCCCCCCGTTCCCGTCGCCCGCGGCCCCCCGTTCCCGTCGCCCGCGGCCCCCCCGTTCCCGTCGCCCGCGGCCCCCCGTTCCCGTCGCCCGCGGCCCCCCCGTTCCCGTCGCCCGCGGCCCCCCGTTCCCGTCGCCCGCGGCCCCCCGTTCCCGTCGCCCGCGGCCCCCCGTTCCCGTCGCCCGCGGCCCCCCGTTCCCGTCGCCCGCGGCCCCCCGTTCCCGTCGCCCGCGGACCCTCGTTCCCGTCGCCCGCGGCCCCCCCCGTTCCTGTCGCCCGCGGCCCCCCGTTCCCGTCGCCCGCCACTGCAGCAGCCGCCCCTGGAGTCGCCCGCCACAGCAGCAGCCGCCCCTGGAGCCGCTCGCCACTGCAGCAGCCGCCCCTGGAGTCGCCCGCCACTGCAGCAGCCGCCCCTGGAGCCGCCCGCCACTGCAGCAGCCGCCCCTGGAGTCGCCCGCCACAGCAGCAGCCGCCCCTGGAGCCGCCCGCCACTGCAGCAGCCGCCCCTGGAGTCGCCCGCCACTGCAGCAGCCGCCCCTGGAGCCGCCCGCCACTGCAGCAGCCGCCCCTGGAGTCGCCCGCCACAGCAGCAGCCGCCCCTGGAGCCGCCCGCCACTGCAGCAGCCGCCCCTGGAGTCGCCCGCCACAGCAGCAGCCGCCCCTGGAGCCGCCCGCCACTGCAGCAGCCGCCCCTGGAGTCGCCCGCCACTGCAGCAGCCGCCCCTGGAGCCGCCCGCCGCTGCAGCAGCCGCCCCTGGCACCTGGAGCAGCCGCCCCTGCAGCAGCCGCCCTTGGCCCCTGGAGCAGCCGCCTCTGGACCTCTGCAGCAGCTGCCCGTGCTCTCTGCGCCCTCGTGCGCTCTGTCTCACCCGCGCCCTCGTGCGCTCTACTACTACCCGCGCCCTCGTGCGCTCTGCTGCTGCCCGCGCCCTCGTGCGCCCTGCTGCTGCCCGCGCCCTCGTGCGCTCTACTACTACCCGCGCCCTCGTGCGCTCTGCTGCTGCCCGCGCCCTCGTGCGCCCTGCTGCTGCCCGCGCCCTCGTGCGCTCTACTACTACCCGCGCCCTCGTGCGCTCTACTACTACCCGCGCCCTCGTGCGCTCTGCTGCTGCCCGCGCCCTCGTGCGCCCTGCTGCTGCCCGCGCCCTCGTGCGCTCTACTACTACCCGCGCCCTCGTGCGCTCTACTACTACCCGCGCCCTCGTGCGCTCTGCTGCTGCCCGCGCCCTCGTGCGCCCTGCTGCTGCCCGCGCCCTCGTGCGCTCTACTACTACCCGCGCCCTCGTGCGCTCTACTACTACCCGCGCCCTCGTGCGCCCTGCTGCTGCCCGCGCCCTCGTGCGCTCTGTTCTATTCTGCTGCTCCCCCCCCCCCCCCCCCGTCCCCAGGACAGGAGTGTGGGGGTGACAGGTATGGGGGTGCTCCGTGTGCGTCGTCCCTTCCTCCTCCTTCGTCTCCCACTGCTGCAGCTGCCGCTGAGGGGGGTGGAGGTGTGGGAGCCGAAGGGAGTGGCGCTAGGGGGGTGATGTGGGAGTGGAGCTAGAGGTGAAACAGGGGATGTGTGTAGGGGGGTGTGGGACAGTTGGAGGAGGCTGCAGCACCTGTAGTCCGGGGCGCACTGTCCTGGTAGCTCAGAGAGCCTGCTGCGCCTGTGTGTCTGCAGCTTCAGTCGTCGTCTCCAATCTTCTCTCCCTTCACAGTTCCTCCTCCTCCTCACTTGCCCTCTGTGATAGCCTCTAGCTTTGCTGATAATTGTGAACTTTTGCTGTGACTGCTGATTGTGCTGATTACACCCCACTTTGGCTATGGGGGTGTGTCAGATTATGTTATTTGTCTAGCCTGCAGTGGGGTGCTCAATAGTGAGTACAACCCCTTAGGGTTTGCTATTTGTGTGTCCTGCTGCTTGCTAGTTCAACCATCATTCCCATTCTCTCTTCTCCAATTCTCCTTCGCATACCCAAAACCCTAGTCCTAGGGCACATCCTACTACCTCTTAGTGTGGGCCTAGGCTACTAAGCCTAGGCCCCACTCCTATTGTTTCTAACAGCATTAACATATACGTAATAATCTGTTAAAAAAATAATTGAAGAAAGCACTTTGAGATACCAAAATAAATAAGAGAACAAAAGGAAACGAGGAGGAAGACGGCGGGATACGGAAAAAAAGAGGAATAGTTGGACAGAAACGGAGATGGACAGTCCGGGACTATAAGTAGTAAAACAAAAAAGGCTAAGAACAACTAAAATTTGAACAAACTAGAAGGACGCGAGAGAGGTGGAATAGGGAGAGACGAACGGATGAGAATGAGATCTACTAGGAACAACATCCGTTAGTATCTATCCTAGCTCTAGTGAGGGAGCATGACTAACGGTAGTAAAGAACCAAGCACGAGTGGCGAGAGGAAACGGAGGCAGAAAAGAGGAACGGAAACCCTAAAGGCTGTAACAATTCCGTCGCACAAACAACGAGTGAAAATTTTACGATGCTTATCCATCTCAGAGTCTTTCGCGCAGAGGGTAGAGGCTGAGAAACTAATAGAGAGGGAGCAGGTTCGATTCCTGTGAGTTAACTATAGCGGACGAAACCCGTTCTACGCGAAATTGCTGACGTAATATACACATGTTTGTCAATATTGTCACGCAAACAATCCAACTGCCTTCTGAAGTCAAAGTATAAAAACATTACAATAATAAAATAACAAATCTGAACATAACAAGAATAACAAAACACAAAAAAAATCCCAACAATCACATATTCTATATATTTTGAAACAACCAAATCTATACTCTTCACAACCACACCAATTCAGTTATATAATCATATATTATACCGTCTGGCCCCGAATAGTAGCGCATATGCGCACAGGTGCTCGTGCTGGTCAGGCTTGCGGGACACTTGGTCACACACAGTCCCGCTGCTTCGCCCGTCTGAGCGACGCCTGGCGTACCGAGTTTGGCGACGCGGCTGAGCTCCCCACCTGGCTGGAGCTGCTTAGGCAGAGGGTAGATATCTTTGCTCTTGACTATGATGCTATTCTCACTGCCATGTATGCGTTGCCTACTAGTGCTGACGGTGCCTGTTACCTGTGCGTACCGCCTGACCCAGGTATAGAGCCTGCTGCTCTAGGTGCTGGTGAGGCTGCTGCTCTAGGTGCTAGTGCGTCTCCTGCTCTAGGTGCTGGTGAGGCTGCTGCTCTAGGTGCTAGTGCGTCTCCTGCTCTAGGTGCTGGTGAGGCTGCTGCTCTAGGTGCTAGTGCGTCTCCTGCTCTAGGTGCTGGTGAGGCTGCTGCTCCAGGTGCTGGTGAGTCTGCTCTTTCTGGTACTGCGCCTGCTGAGGCCTTGTACACCTTCACCCTTGACTCAGGAGCTTCTCGCTCCTTCTTTCGCGACTGCACCACACTCACGCCGCTTAGTCGGCCAGTTGCAGTCTCCCTGGCGGACCCCTCTGGGGGTCCAGTCCTTGCCCACTACTCCACGATTCCGCCGTGTCCGGCCGCCCCGTCTGGCTCGCTGTCCGGTCTCTACCTCCCCTCGTTCTCTACGAACTTGGTGAGTGGAGCTGACCTCCAGGATGGCGGGGTTGACCAGTTCACTCCTGCGAGTCAGCGAGTGACTCACTGTACGTGTGCTCGGACGGGCCGACACCTGGCCACGTTTACCCGTGCGCCTGGCTCGAGTCTGTACACACTGACCACTGAGTCCCCTCAGGTGGCTGCGTCTGCGTCTGCGTCAGGTCAGCTAGCGGCCCCCTGCTCGTGTCGCGCTTTGTCGCACCAGACCCTCCTTTGGCACCACCGCCTTGGTCACCCCTCGGTGCAGCGCCTTTGTAGCATGCACCGCCATGTCCTTGTCTCTGGTCTTCCCAGGGTTCTCCCTCCCCTCCCACCCTCGCCTGCTCCTCCCTGTCTTCCCTGTGTCGAGGGGCGGCAGCGCGCCGCTCCTCACTCCTCCTCGTTCCCTCCCACAGAGGCTCCCCTGCAGACTCTCCACCTGGACGTGTGGGGCCTAGCCCGCGTCCGTGGACAGGGCCACGAGCGGTACTTCCTGCTGGTCGTCAACGACTACCACGGTCTTCCCCTTGCAGCGCAAGGGGGAGGTCCCTGATGTTTTGATCCCTTGGATCCGCGCTGCCCGTCTCCAGCTCCGCGAGCGGTTCGGGACGGAGTTTCCCATCCTGCGTCTGCACTCTGACAGAGGTGGTGAGTTCTCCTCAGACCTCTTGGCAGCCTTCTGTGCGGAGCACGGCATCCGCCAGACGTTCACGCTTCCGGCCTCTCCGCAACAGAATGGGGTTGCTGAGCGCCGCATTAGCTTAGTCATGGAGGTCGCTCGTACCTCCATGATCCATGCAGCTGCCCCCCATTTTCTGTGGCCGTTTGCGGTCAGGTACGCCGCGCATCAGCTCAACCTCTGGCCTCGTGTCTCCTTGCCGGAGACCTCGCCCACACTGCTGTGGACGGGGAAGGTTGGCGATGCGTCGCGTTTCCGGGTCTGGGGTGCTCGTGCCTTTGTCCGCGATACCACCGCGGACAAGCTCTCCGCCCGCGCTGTTCCCTGTGTCTTCCTTGGCTTTGTCCCTGACGCGCCTGGTTGGCAGTTTTACCACCCCACCTCGCGCCGTGTCTTCCCCTCTCAGGACGTCACGTTTGACGAGTCGGTTCCCTTTTACCGTCTCTTCCCCTACCGCACTGCCCCTCTCCCCCCCCCCGCCGCTCTTCCTCGCTCCAGGTGCTCCCCAGGTAGACCCCCTCCCCGCTCCCGGTCCTGCTCCTTCAGGTGTGTCTCAGGTAGACCCTCCTCCCTTGACTCAGGTTGAGGTCACTGGTGACTCAGGTCCTGCTGAGGGTGGTCCTGCTCGGGGTGCTGCTTCTGGGGGTGCTGAGCCTGGGGGTGCAGAGCCTGGGGGTGCTGAGCCTGGGGGTGCTGAGCCTGGGGGTGCAGAGCCTGGGGGTGCGGAGCCTGGGGGTGCTGAGTCTGGGGGTGCTGCGCCTGGGGGCGCTGGGGCGTCTCGTGAGCAGTCTCCCTCGAGCGACCGTCTCCGTAGTCGCTCCGCTGGTGCCTCGCCGCTGCACTCTCGTAGCCGTCTCCCTCTCTCCCCACAGCAGCTGCTTGAGTGGTACGTTAGCCGTCAGGGTCGAGCTGCTGGAGCTGGGGGCCCTGCTGCGGGGGGCGCTTGTGTTGGAGGCACTGGAGCCGGCGCTGTCCCTGGGGGTGCGGAGACTGGGGGTGCTGAGCCTGAGCGTGAGGAGCCTAGGAGTGCTGAGTCTGGGGGTGCTGAGCCTGAGCGTGTGGAGCCTGGAGGTACTACGTCTGCGGGTGCTGATCTGGCTGCGCCGCCCACCTGGCTTCACTGGGTTGTTCCCGCCTGGTACCCAGTGGAGCCTCCGGCGGCCAGTCTACGGTCTCCGCCAGGCGCCCCGTGAGTGGCACGACACACTGAGGACTACACTTGCGGCTCTTGGGTTTGCTCTTTCGACTGCTGACCCGTCGCTGTTTCTGCGCACCGACACTTCCCTGCCGCCGTTCTACATCCTCGTGTACGTCGACGACTTGGTTTTTGCCACTTCTGACACTGAGGCTCTTGCCCTGGTGAAGTCGGAGCTGCAGAAGAGACACACGTGCACTGACCTGGGTGAGCTGCGCAGTTACCTTGGCTTGCAGATCACCTGGGACCGAGCACGTCGCACCATCACACTGACTCAGTCACACATGTTGCAGCAGGTCCTTCAGCGCTTCGGCTTCACCTGGTCCTCACCACAGGCCACTCCTCTGGCTACAGGTCACTCGCTCTCAGCTCCACCTTCGGACGAGTCCGTAGAGCCAAGTGGTCCTTACCCAGAGTTAGTGGGCTGCCTCATGTACCTGATGACCTGCACTCGTCCTGACCTTGCGTACCCTCTTGGCCTTCTAGCAAGCTACGTGGCTCCTGGTCGACACCGAAAGGTGCACTGGGATGCCGCGAAGAGGGTGTTGCGTTACTTGTGCAGTACATCGGGCATGGGGCTCGTGCTTGGAGGGCGGAGAGACGTGGTCCTCACTGGGCACTCAGACGCTTCTTGGGTTGACGACCAGGCTACGCAGCGGTCGTCACAGGGTTACACTTTCAGCCTTGGCTTAGGTTCTGTTTCTTGGCGTTCTACTCGCTCGTCTTCTGTTCTCAGCTCCAGTTGTGAGGCTGAGATCTACTCCACTGCCATGGCTTCTCAGGAGTTACGCTGGCTCCCTTACCTGCTGACCGACTTGGGAGAGCGGCCTCGTTCTCCTCCAGTGCTGTACGTCGACAACAAGGCTGCCATTGCCTTGTGTGAGGAGCACAGACTGGAGCACAGAACGAAGCACATTGCTCTCCGTTACTTCCTGGCTCGAGAGTTGCAGCAGCGTGGTCAGCTTCGTCTTGCACACGTGGCCACTCAGGCCAACACTGCTGATATATTCACCAAGGCACTTCCGTCTGGTGACCATCAGCGCTTTTGTACTTTGTTGGGCCTTGTGCCTACGTTTCCACACTTGCTGTAGACTCTGCTTGTACTGTGATCCATATATATATACCTGCATGCTTGCTCTTGCTAGGTAGTGATCACTTTACTTTTCTTGTTGCATATATACCTCTGCATGTGAACTGGCCTTGTGGCCCTTTGCTTGTGCTCAGTGTGTGTGGTGACGTTGTGATCCACCTTGAGCTTGCTTTGTTTTTCTTGACTGGTCTTGTGACCCCTTGCTCTCCCCCACTTTGCCTATGGGGGTGTGTCAAATATTATATGCTGCATATTGTGTAGGCTGTAGTGGGGTAGCCCATATGGGGTACAACCCAATTAGGGTTTACTACTTGTACTCCTGCATGCTGCTAGTTCATCCATTCCT